GACAGTGTTTACAGCAAAAAGCCTGACGGTAATGATTCTACTCACCAGAACAAATTCAATAAGCTGTAGTTGTTCTGGTTACTATAGTGTCCCTTTAATTATATTCATTGTTAGCCAGTCCACACAAGTTTTGTTCCCATACATCCCACTTAAGTTTCAAGACTAGGGGACTCTGGCTGGGACACATGGTGACAATGGGAAAATAGGGGACACTTGAAGACATGGGGATACAGACACTAGAGACACTGGCTGGGGGACATGGGGACATTGAGACATGGGGCACTGGGAGACATGGGAACAGAGACACCAGGGCCACAGACACTAGAGACACTAGCTTGGAGACATTGTGACACTTGAGGCAATGAGAGACATGGAGGCACTAGAAGACATGGGGACAGTGAGACACTGGCAGACTGGGGGCACTGGGGGACTAGGGGTCACTGGGAGACTAGGGGGCACTGAGACACCAGGGACACTGGCTGGGAGACATGGGGATACTGTGTCCCCATGTGTCTGTGTCATAGTATCTCCCAGTGTCCCTTAGTACCTCAGTATCTGCCATAATGTCTCCTAGTGCCCCTTAGTGTCTCAGTGTCTGCCATAAAGGACCACTATAGTGCCAGGAAAACACTCGTTTTCCTGGCACTATAGTGCCCTGAGGGTGCCCCCACCCTCAGGGACCCCCTCCCGCCCGGCTCTGGAAGGGGGAAAGGGTTAAAAACTTACCTTTTTCCAGCGCTGGGCGGAGAGCTCTCCTCCTTCTCTCCTCCTCCGTTCCTCCTCCTGGGCTGAATGTGCATGCGCGGCAAGAGCTGCGCGCACATTCAGCCCGTCGCATAGGAAAGCATTTACAATGCTTTCCTATGGACCTCTAGTGGCTGTCAATGAGACAGCCACTAGAGGATTAGGGGGAAGGCTTAACCCATTCATAAACATAGCAGTTTCTCTGAAACTGCTATGTTTATAAAAAATGGGTTAACCCTAGCTGGACCAGGCACCCAGACCACTTCATTAAGCTGAAGTGGTCTGGGTGCCTAGAGTGGTCCTATAATGTCTCCCAGTGTCCCTTAGTGTCTGCCATAATGTCTCCCAGTGTCCCTTAGTGTCTCAGTGTCTGCCATAATGTCTCCCAGTGTCCCTTAGTGTCTCAGTGTATGTCTCCTTGCAGCCTTTCCCCCATCCCTTACTTCCCTGAGCTGTAGGCTGTCTCTGCAGGGTGGGAGTTGCTGTCTGGACTCTCTGTAGCTGCACCCCTGCAGATCAGTGAGTATAGATAGGCAGGGAGGGATATGCTGGAACTTCCTATCCCTGCCTCTCTCCACACACAGCGACCCCTACTGGCCAGTGCTGGTATTGCGGAGTAATCTCTTGTTTATACTGAGAAAAATACCAGCATTTGTATTGCCAGTATCACTGCAATACCAGCACCACCAGGCAGCCCCAAATACTGGCTGTGCCAATAAAATAAAAGTCAGGTGGAATACCTAAGAGTAGTGTGTGAAAAAAAAAAATGTAAAAAAAAAAAATATATATATATTTTTTTTTATTTTTTTTTTAAATCAATGGGCCTATTCCATGGGCCTGGGCCTGGAGCTGCAGCTCCATCAGCCCCTATGTTAATCCGGCCCTGTCCCTGGGAGGTTTGGCCCTTTAAATACAGGATTTAGGCATAATTAATTTTTATTGTACTGCTGCTGGCCCTTTAACTCCCAGAGAAAAGATTTGTACTTTTAAACAGGCACTTCGGATGCAGTTGATGCCGAAGTAGTCGATGTGGCCGCCATTCGAAAAACGGACACGTGGCGGTGGCCATTTTAATTTAGTCGAACGCGGTCAGTGGTGCATGCCACTGAATCTATGGAACTAAAATCGGCTACACATTTGCACAAACACCGCTGACCCTTACCTTCTCATGAACTTTGAAGCTTCGGCTTGAATCGAAGTGCGTTCGACAATTTGAACGCACTGTTAGACTGGGCTATTTGCATGAATGGCCCCGTTCGTGCATTCAAATGAGACTTAGAAATTTTTCTGTGTGAAATTGACCGACCGCACAGCCCAAATCTATGGAACTCTTTTTGGGCATGAAAATGTGCTTGCGGTCGGTCAAATAGGACTTTCCCTTAACTTTTTAACCCCTGAACCGATTGCCCTGATTTTTGAGTATGTTTATATTTAAAAGATGCTGATTAATAATATGTGGATTGGATTGGATGTATGGTTTTAAAGTTATAGTACATGCATAAAAACTGTATTTTTCCTGCCTGTGATAATTATGTTAACCTTTGTGTACCATAATTATATCACAGGCAGAGGGGAGGATTTTGAGTGTAATTATTGGGAGTTTTTTCTGTAATGTACGTGTGTTATTGGTTGTTCTGTAAAACCCTGTGGGTGGTCCTATGTAAGGAAAACCTGCATAAAAGAAGGCCCTTTGGTGCCAATAAAACAGAACTACTTGACCCTTTTTTTGAAGCCTTGGCTCATGCTTGTGGGATGGGATAACTACACTCTTGGGGATTCCTATATCACAATACTCCCCTGAGTATAAGCTCTTGTAAGAGCTTGTTCCTGGTTCCTGCTCCCTGAATATAGGAGAGGTCTACCCACTGGAAGCTGAATCCTGGCCTTGGGTCCAGGGTGAGTGAAAGACAGCTAGACCCCGACGCAGCTGCATCGATGCAAGTGGGGTCTGCAGTGATTATGGTGTCGGTTGGAGTGCTTGGAGTCCTCGGCAAGTACTAGGAGCATCGATTGGTGGAGATACTTGGTCGGAGTGCCAGCGGCCCATCACATGCCTCTTCTAGAACTAATCACTGCTGCCCCCCTCCACTGGCAATGGCTAACAGGACACTTGCAAAATATATTTTCCTGTAACAGTCTTTGTAAAATTGAATTTAAGAAACAGTTAGTAAAAAACAGTATATAATTCTTCTAATATTCTTCTTCTTCTTTGATTATACTCTAAGATGGCGGACAAACAGCAAAATGGCTGACAGCATGCCAGTAGGTTACATATGTTCACACATGGTTAGCTCTGCCTTAGAGGTGTCAGTAAAAGCAGGGAGATCCCTTTGGTCTGTACCTAGTGTATCACCCTCGCAAACATGGAGAAGGGAGGAAAGGAATAAGCTCCCTGGTTCGGCCAGTTCTGGAGGAATGTGTCTACAGCTTCGCATTCCGTATCTGGGAAGTTGTCGGTTGGTCCGAGATGCGAAAAGGTTGAGAATCAGTGGACCTCTGTACTCGAAGAGTTTGTTGAAGATTGTTTAGTTGAGGCGCCAGTCGCTGCCATCCCTCCAATGTCGGAAATACCAATCCGTCATGAGGTTGGATGTTCCCGTAGGTATTCCAGACGTAGTGTGATGTTGTGGGAAAGACCGAAACTGTAGATGTCCTTGTTCGCCTCTGATAGAGCCTAAGAGTGAGCTCCGCCCATGCGGTTTATATACTGGACCGCTGAAATGTTGTACGTGCGTAGCATTATGCAACAGTTGGACAT